TCTTCTTCTTCTTCTTCTTCTTCTTCTTCTTCTTCTTCTTCTTCTTCCTCCTCCTCCTCCTCCTCCTCCTCCTCCTCCTCCTCCTCCTTCTCCTCTTCCCCTCCTCCTCCTCTTCTACTTCTAACTTTTTATTGCTTCTTTATGAATTTCACATCATGCACCCCAATCCCACACATCTCCTGGTCCCTTCATAACCACCTTTCACCCTTGAAACCTCTCCCCAAGAACAAAACAAAACAAACAGACAAAGCATCTCACCATGGAAGCTGTGGTGTGTCACCATGTGTCACACTGTATATCTTTTACCCAAACAACTTTACTTACAAATGTTTGTTGCAATGAGCCATTGCTCTGGTTCGAAGCCTCTGGCTTCTGATACACCTAGATCCTCACCAGGACTCCTCTTGGATATCCTATTGCTGCCCTGTGTCATGGAGATCCTGCAGCTTTTGATCTGCAGGCCCGGCCCCTGCACAGGCTCCAGCAATTCATAGATGGAGTGGACATTAGGGTGGACCAACTCAGAGCCCTGGAGCTGAGCCTGGTTTGAAGCTGAGTTGGTCAGCTCACCAGCTCCCCTGAACCCAGGACCACCAGGACCAGTTCTCCTGCTTTGCCCAGGAGAGTGGGCTAGCTCTCCCACTCTCCTGCCATTTGGAGTCCAACTCTCCCAAGGCCACACCATCAGGGCCAGCTCTACTCTGCTGCCCAGGCAAGTTTCTGGGCCCCACTTCCAGGGTGCTGAAACTCTGCCGTTCCCCCACCCTCAGGGTCAATGGCATGGCTTCTGATCAAGGAGAGATGGAAATATTCAACCTCCCTAAAGAAAGGAAGAAAGTAGGCCTCCTATTGGTCCCAGTCCTGGGAGGAGGAAACGTGTCTGTGTTTCTTTGTGTTGGTAATTTATGTGATGGAGTTTAACACCAGATGTAATGAAACACGAGTAGCAAGCAATGCTCTCTCTCAAGCACATCCTACAGGAAGTTTTGAGAAATGTCTTCAAGGGATGACATCATTAGAAGGAATCTGAAATACTTCAGACTACCAGGAACATTTCCATTGATTTCTCTTTGGAAGAAAGGGGGAATATAGACATAATAACGAATTAAATTTGAGTCCTAAACCATGGTTTAAATATTGGGATGAGGGGCAGTGGGATGGTGCAGCAGGTAAAAGTGCCTCTATAGCAAGCTCAGCAACCTGAGCTCAGGTTCCACAGCTGGAGGAGAGAACCAGCTCCCAGACATTACTGAATGTGTACACATGCATGCACAGAGAGAGAGAGAGAGAGAGAGAGAGAGAGAGAGAAGTAAAGTAAAAATTAAAATAAGGAACTAGAAAGAACACTGACTGCTCGTGCAGGAGACCTGGGTTTACTCCCTAGCACCACATAGCAGCTCACAACAGTCTGCAACTCCAGTTTTAGCGGATCCTATACCCTCTTCTGGGCTTCAAGGACACCTGCCACACACGTGGTACACAGTCATTTTTGCAGCCATGCGGCAATACAGCTGGCATTTGACAAGCTCGCTTAGGACCTGAGTGACCGGAATAGCGACTGTTCACTGAAAGTTATGATTAAAAAATCCTTTGTGGGGCTGGGGAGATGACTCAGCAGGTCAAAGCCCTTGTTGTGAGCCTGACAACCTAAGTTTTGATCCCATTTGCTTGTAATCCTAGTACTCCTGTGATCAAATAATAAGAGGGGAGGCAGAGACAGTAGAATCTAACCGGAGCTTGCAGGCTAGCTAGCCTGGGGTAGAGGACACAGTTGTCAGCAAGGAAACCCTGACTCAAACAAAGTAGAAGGATACCAAAAAAGGGTGCTGTGTCAGGAATGTACTCTCAGACACAAACACATATATACACAACACACATGCATGCACAAAACAGCAAAATTAATATCTAAAAAATACTTTATATTTAAATTTTTATCAGAAACTGCCACTGACTTACAAAATCTTGACTGGATACAATTCATGCTCCCTACAATTAGGTTACTGTCCCGGGACAACAAACGAAAGCAAGGACTTCTTAAAGTGTAATGGTCTTTGAGGAACACAGAAGGTAGATAAATGGCATCTTAATTTTCAAAGCTGGATAGAAAAGATGGTATGTCTCAAGTACATGTCACAATTTGAATCTTCAGTGGATTTTTCAGGAGCCAGATTATACATATGGAGAAAACTATAATCCAGAGAGCCTACAGCATGGACCAGCTTGTCTGAGAATCAGGCATCTCAGAGGCGATGGAGATGGACCCCACAGACTCACACAAACTAGGTAAGAACACAACCTCTGAGCTATATCCACATCCTGAAACATCTCCAGGTACCTCATTTCCGTTTATGACAAGCGTTTTAAGACTGCTGTGTTATGAAATTGTCAAAGGTATAGTCTCCTTAGATGGCAAAACTCAAAAGCCTTTCTTGGTATCTTTATGATCAACACAATATCACTGGGTGAATGAGAGCACATTTCAGTTAATGCACACATTATTCAGAGAGTAGCAACAGTGGGCTTCTGTCAGTTTCAAAAGAGAGTCCAAATGCTTTTCCAGTTTAATGCACTTAATATTTCCTGTCTCAGGAACTCTAGCATGCAGAAAAAACAACAAAAGGTCTCTACTCTGATCTCACCGTTTACCCTGTCCTTTGTATTTTCAAAAAATGTTTTTAACTCATTGCTACACTTTGAATTTAAGTGTCTCCCAACATGAGCTCATGTGTTAAAGACCTGCTCCCGGGGTAGCTGTCCTGGGAGGAACTTCTAAGAAGTGGGGCCTAGAGGTCTTCACATCATTAGAGCCATGTTCTGAAAGTGACTCTGGCATCTTATACCGTCTCCCCTTCCCCCACACACACCCTCACGCTGCTCTCTTTGTCTCTCCCCCACCTTCTATCCCTCTATTCCACCCCTCTCTTCTGTCTGTCTGTCTGTCTGTCTGTCTG